GAAGTTATATTGTATATTGTATTAAAGTAGATTAATCTAAAGTTTGATTATAATAATTTCAAGATAAAGATTGATAATTCAAGGATATAAATATTCCGTTTTTATTAAAACTATAATATTAATGTAATATTAATTATATATTTAATAAATATCTTGATAGAGAAATTTTGAATTTTTGAAATTTTTAAATCTATAAGATTTAAAATCTGTCGATTTACTGAAACCATGATAAAAAAAATTTGAAAATTTTTATGATTTGTATTTCAACGTGATAAATTCTATTATAAAAACTTTTTATAAAAGTAAACGAGATGAATAATTATCAATCACTCTTTGCTCAAAAAGATTTCATCTACTCTACGATGAATTCCATTATCCGATTATATTATTGCTTTCGATACATGGATTTGTCTAATATTAACAAAATTCCAAAAAGATAAAAATAAAACTAAATCTGATAACAAAGATATTCTTGATAACGTATTTTAGTTAAAATAATAGTTAAAATAATTTTTATTAAATAACTGGAAAATTTAATTTTTTTGAAAAAAACAATATAGAGTATAATTTACTTACGCGAATCCTGAGATTTAAATAAAAAAGAACCAACGATAAGATATGCGGAAATAACGCATTTCGCTTGAATGTATCCTAAAGCTTTAAGAGAATTCCCATTGAGAGAGAGAGAAAGAGAGAAAAAGGGGAGAAGAAGAGTGTGAAATATTCACACTTAAGAGATGAATTCCGAAAAATGGAGATCCTAAGGGGACTATTTCAATGTCTCACGATGTCAAGCAAAAGAAACGCCGTGCCCTTTCGCACGGATTCATTAAGAAAATCCCGATTTACTATAACAGAGGTGTTAAAATGAAGAAGAATACAACTTTAAAATTAATACTTTCGCTATGTGCATACTAAATAAATGTACTTTTATCTCATAGAATGAATAGTATATGAATTGTGAGGATTAATCTATTAAAAACATAAAATGTATTTTTGACGCGAAATTGTATTTAAAATATTTAAAATATTTAAAATATTTAAAATCATTCAATCAATTTAAAAATTTAACATACTAGTCGTATATATTAATTTAACGCTTGGTAGAAACATGGTTTCTGTGCATCATGTATATGTAATTAATTTATTATTTATTTGTACTACACTGAATAATAGAATATTAATTTGATTATATTTTAAAAAGCTTTTGTTCTACAATTTTGCAAAATTATGAAATATTTACAAGATTATTTAAATATATAATTAACCGGATTTAAATATATAATTATCGGATTATTACCTTATCCTATACTTTCTCTCGAGACAGGTAAATTATGACTTTGATGATATACAAGATTTATATACTAATCTGTTATTTTAAATATATTAATTCTAAGTATTATTAAGAATCTTATCGTTTAAATTCAACCTTTTTATCGTCGCGTTGTTAATGTCAAGAAAAAAGAGACTGATATAAGTTTGCAATAAGCAACGAAGAAAAGTCATTAAATAACAATTAAACAAGTAACTAGTCAGTAATCAGATACAGTTGGGAAAATATCATGAGACACGTAAAGTCTAATTATACACGCGATTTCTCGTGTGAATTTATTTCGATGACAAAGGAAAAAGATATGATAAGAATAAGTTCTTTAGCTAGGTAAAAGTTATTGACAATTTGGATGATTTTCTAAACATAGCAAAGAAATTAAAATAATAAGAAGGATTTATAAAACTAGCAAAATATAAATATAACAATAATATTTTTCTGAAATTTAAATAATTTTAAATTTTATTATAGATTATTTAAATATTACAGATTATAGATTATTTCTAGAAATAAAAAAGAACAGGAAATATAAAACTCAATAATACATAAATAACCAAAGAATGTACGGAATATTAGGAATGTTAGAAAAATTACTTGCGTTTTCTTCTTTAATTGAAGGATCGTAATTTAACAAAGAGAAAGCGATTCTTTGAAAGTTGAGTGCTGAAGGTCCGACGCTGATCGAATTACAATTCATAGCGTGGCGAACATGCTCTCGACGTTAGAATGACGATGAGAAGAATGTCGTTGGTGCGCTTTCGGTTTCCATTACGAGGATGCTTTCTGCTGGTTGTGTTTCTCCACAGCATTTTTTTCTTCCTCAAATAACCCTTTTCACGCATGTTTGCTGGGTAAAAAGCCACATTGTAAAAAGCCGCGTTGATGACATTATTGTTCCCGCTGTCTTTTTCCGCCGTCTTTTTCAACGACATGCCTTTGCGCCCACGATTTAGTTGCCACACTTCTATCTTGACCTTATATTTCTGACAGCAAAAGAAATTTCATAAAGAAAGAAAATTTACAAAGATGACACGAGTTTTATATAGAATAAATAAATGTATTAGATACGGCGGTCAATATCAATTAAAATTAGAAATAAATTATTATTTGTATCAATAATATTAGATATACATATCATTTCAATTGAGATACTAATATCATCGTTAAAGTGTCAAAACTATTGAATATTGGAAGGAAATAGTAAAGGAAACAGCATAAGGAAATAGTGAAAGGCTATACAATTTAATATTATTACAATTACTACAATTTAATATTATGCGTAAACTTTACTTTGATATAATGTTATTAAATTTAATTTATTATTTCATATATATATATATATATATATATATATAT